GGTCCCCATGGGAGATCGAGGCCGAACAGGGCCGCAGGGAGCGAAGATGGTTGCTACAGCAGACCCCCATGGAGCCCCAACTTCAGCAGCTGATGGGCAGTGAATCAGCCACATTTCGGGGCATCCAAGGGGCGGCCATGGAAGCCATCCAACAGGGCCAAAGTCCCATTGTTGCCGTCATGCCCACAGGCAGTGGCAAAAGCATGTTGTTCATGCTGCCGGCATGGGTGGCGCCCCGGGGTACCACAATTGTAGTAGTCCCATTGATTGCATTACGGGGGGACTTGCAGCGGCGGTGTGCCAGACTGGGCATTGTCTGTGTGGAGTGGGAGAGCCGCCAGCCCCCAGATGAAGCTTCCATTGTGCTGGTCACCCCCGAGTCAGCCATCACCGAGGATTTTATGACATTTTGGAACCGGCAGCGGCTGCAGCACCGATTGGACCGGATTGTGATTGATGAATGCCATGTGATGCTGAACCGCCAGAAGGATTTCCGGCCGGCCATGGCCCAGCTTGGCCGGTTGACTGTGGCCCAAACCCAGATGGTTTATTTGACTGCCACATTGCCACCAACCGAAGAACGCCATTTGTTTGACCGGATGCGGTCCACACCCGAAGCAGTACAGCTATGCCGAGCCTGCACATGTCGGACCAATGTGGCATACCAGGTTTTCCAGCCCGAGGTTGATCACCCATGCCAGGCTTCATACCAGTGGGTAGAAGCCCCGGAGGTGATCACATTCATTCATAGCCGCGTCCAGCGGGCTCGGCCAGGCAAGGTGATCATATATGGTCCCACCATCCCCGTGGTGCTCCAGATGGCTGAATTACTTGAATGCGAGGCATATCATAGCAAGCAGGTTGACAAGGCCGGTGTTATGGGCCGGTTTCAAAGTGGCAATATCAATGTGATAGCAGCCACCTCGGCACTGGGAATGGGAGTTGATATCCCCGACATCCAGTGTATCATGCATGTTGGGCAGCCCCGTACACTGCTGGACTATGCCCAGGAGAGCGGCCGTGCTGGTCGAGATGGGCAAGGCAGTGAGGCTGTCATCATCCAACCTGCTGGGATCGACCCCCCCAAATGGCAAGCGGAGGGACTCCAACCCCAGGAGATGGCCCAAGTGGAGCATTATCTGGATCCTGGAGATGATGGCTGCCGGAGGGCTGTACTGGACCATTATTTGGATGGTACCGTGAACGGCTACAGGCGGAATCAATGTGGAGACTGGGATGCACCAGGGGCTGAAGAGCAGCGATGTGATTGCTGTGATGGTGGCTGGCTGGCCCATGAGGCCATGGCCAGTGAGCCAGGCAGGATCCATAGCAATACACCTGCCGCTAGCTCCCCGGAGCCCATGGATGTCGAGTGGGAGCAGCCTGTTGCAAGTGGCAGCCATGCAGCTGGCAGCAGTGTCAATACACCTGCCGCTAGCTCCCCGGAGCCCATGGATGTCGAGTGGGAGCAGCCTGTTGCAAG